AATCACAATGCTATCTCGGCGCCATGTGATCCTGTAGTCTGCCGCCACCAGCCATGCCAAGGGGATGATAGGCTCCACCGGCTCCTTGCTAAGCAAGGTCTGATGCTTGGGGTGCTTGTAGAGCACTGTTGACCCACAAGCCAGTTCCACCTTCGTGGCCACCAAGTCCGGCTCCTCCTCAGGCTTGGCTTGTCGAAGCCCATGAGTGGCTCCTCCATCCAACAAGGCGTACTCGCCCGGCCCACCAAAGTTCCCTTCTCCCACGGACTTCATCCGCACGGCCTTCAAAGACCTGATGGACTTCAGGAGGCTTGTGGCCTCTCGCATCAGCTCGGCTGCCGCCTCTGTTGATGGCTCACCCATTGGCTCCGTTGTAGTGGAATCCCCACATTGAGCTCCTTCTGAAGCTCCACCAGCGGCTGTGTTGACTACCTCCTTGGGCTTCAAGTCATCGCCATTCGCCATCTTCACCTTCTGAGAGTCACCAGCCGATCCCTTCGCAGCTGGTTTGGGCGATGCCTTCACCTTGGACACCTTCTTGGGCTGTGAGCCATCACCCACAGGGCCAGCAGATGGTGTTGGGGTAGAAGTCGAAGTAGATGAAGTTTTTGCGGTGCAGTCCCTTCGAAGGTGCGCTGAGCTTCCACAGTTGAAGCACCGACCCTTCATGTCAGAAGTCTCGTGAAGGAACGTGCACTGAGCCCCACGCTTGCACCCTTCTGTGGTCTTCCAGAACTTGCATGGAGACTTCAAGGTGTTCCCTGTTGATGCACTCGTCGTCGATATTGGTACCTCCAAGCCAGCCATGGCCTTCAGTGAGGTAGTGCCCTGAGCTCCAGCAGTCGTGGATCTCAAACCGATCCCAAGGCTCAGCTCCTCCGCCTCAGATTGAAGGTACTCGGCGTACTGCTCGATGGATGGGGCCATAGGCCTGATGTCCACACCAAGCTCCTGCCTCACCGAAGCCACCCGGTATGCCAGCTGTGTGCCCCCAAGCTTTCCCAGCGCGTCTGCAAAGCGATGCAAGACTCCACCCAGAATGACCGGGTCAGGAAGCGCCAGATTCAGCTCCAAAGACCTGCTCATCAATCTTCTCCATCTCCGAAGTCCACCAAGCAAGTCCGGTGCTCCAGCTGCCACCTTTGGTTCCGTAAGCTGCTTGAGGATGCTCACCCTTTCCGAGCTCCCACCAGGCTGGAAGACCGTCCACAGCCTGTACATGATGCCCGTCACCGTCATGGTTCTGCTGGCAATCAAGTCCTGCTTGATGAGCTCCGGGATGCACTTCAGCAACATTGGCACCACCCTCTGCTCCAAGCGCAGGTGCGCCTCAGAGCGCTGAGTCTCCACAGGGCGAAGTCTGATCCTCTCCAGAGGGGTCGATGTGAGCCATCGATTATAGAGATTGGAGGCTTCCATCAGGATTTCACACCACCATCCACGGGCTGATCCGGCCACATCTCCAATCATCGGAGTGACCACCGTGATCCAGTCTCCAAACTGCAAAGCTGACTGCTCTGAACCTGGCTGTGGAAGTAGAGGAAGATCAGAGCCTCTCAGCTGCTCCATAGGAGATGCTGCTCCTTATTGTTGATCTGGTCGTCCAAGTCCAGGAGGTCTCACCACTGAGGTAGTTCCCGATGTGCCACCACCTCCAAAGGACGCCATAGGGCCCGAGGCACTCCAGCCACCAAGTTGACCACCACCATGTAGGCCAGCAGCATACCCTTGCGAGTTCGCCGTAGATCCAATGCCCCCACAAAGTCCACCAGCATGAAGACCATGATATGGATGAACTGCTCCACCATGAGGTCCAGGAGATTGACCACCAGGAATTCCAGGTGAATGCACTGCCGTTGGAGAGACAGGTTGGCTCCAAGTAAGACCACATCCTTGACCAACACCTTGTGCTCCTCGTTGATGTCCATCCAGTCCAACTTGACCACGTTCAGCAAGATGAGAAGGCACCAGGTGTCCAGCCGGTTGCATAGTCAGTGAAGGCGTAGTTGCCGACCCGTTCAAGGCTGGCATCGGAGGCACCGATCCCGTAGTTGCACCAGCTCCACTTGAAGCAGTGTGGTAGGACCGAATCTCACCACCTTCACCTTCTTCACCACGAAGTTTCTTCGCCTCTCGAGCGAAACTCTCTTCGGCCTCCCTCATGATGCGCAATCTCAACTCCTCGACAGACTTCTCTGGAGATGGTTGCGACAACGTCCCAATGGCCAAGGCCTGCACAGGGCCAGCACCATTCAGCGTCCCTTGGGCTCCAGCACCACGGGCCTGCATAGGACCCCCATGTCGAGCTCCTGCAACCAAGGCCTGCTCAGGACCCCCATGAAGAGCTCCAGCACCAAGGGCCTGCTCAAGGCCAGCGCCACCACGAACATCCTGCCCAGGGCTCGCTCCAAGTTGATCCTGCCCAGCATTCCCATGGCCAGCAGGGCCAAACGTCACTGGCACCCCCGCCATAGGTGGCAAAGATTCCGGTCTCGCCACATCAGCTATCTGTTCCAAGGCTGCCTCACGCTGAACTCCAGCGCTCCAGAAAGCATTGACTCCGGGAGGCACTGTAATCACCCCAGCGCCACCCCGATCCTGGCCAAACAGGCCGCTAGATGCCACCAGCAAGGACGTCCCATCACGGTGCACGAACCCTTGTTCCCGGCCAGCATCACTAAAGGGATTCCGAGCCAGCTCCAAACCAGCTCCAGCAGCACTAGGTCCTCCATGAAGTCCTCGTTCAGCTGCCACGGCAGGGCGGATGTCATCATCTTCGTCCAGCCTTCGTCGAAACACCGCCTGAGCTTCATCATGCCCAGGTTCCTGAAACAGCGGAGCAAGAAGGCCATCAGGTCCTAGAGGTTCTGCATCAAGTTGGAGGGAGGTCACCTGCCCTTGTGGTCCTTCAGTTCCACCCTGTCCCCGACCTTCATTTCGTCGTGGCTCTGGCGTCGAAGCAGCCACGTCCCCCTCGGTCACCTTCAGTCGTCGGACCTCGGGCACTTGGGGAACTTCCAGCTTTGACCTCTTCTCCATCTCGATCAGCCTGTCTAGGCGCTGATCTGCCGTTTCTTGGGGCTGCCGGCGCCTCCGATCCATCACAGTCGAAGGAACCCCGCGCACCCAAGCCAATGAAGGCTTGGGCTCATAACCTGCGAAAGGCAGGTGCAAAAGTCTGCCCTTTTCTTGAGCCATGTGCAGTCAGAAATCCTTGTGCAGGGGCCATGCTATGAACGGTCGTCCATGCTGCATGCCAGTCCTACAAGTGACAACACTTCTTGATTTGTGTGTGTCATCCTTTGAAAACGGCGCCACAAATACAATTCAATGGGATATGTAGCATATACCCTCTGGTAAACTAACATAACTATGGAAAATCACCATTTTTAATGGAAAATTCCACTATAAATGGTCATTTTCAATAGCTATGTTAGTTTACCAGAGGGTATGATGCTTACCCTCTGGTAATTTAATAACGTATGCGAACTGGAAGTCATGGCCCTCAGTTCGATGATTTTTTTCTGCGGACCTACCAACAAAATTGTGATTTTCCGTAGCTATGTTGTGAGGTTGCCAAATTGCAAGACCAACCATTTTATATCATTTTATAAAGATGTAATGGAAGAATTTATGGTATACCTTCCCAGCATTTCCCAGCACTAAACATACACAAAACTCTGAATATCCATGCGTTTCCCTAGGAAACAATCTACACATGGTGGATCCATATCTGTGTTCGCTTGGAGGGTAATCAACCATACGATCTAGTTTTGTTCCAAAATTGGGCATACCCTGTTTCTCCCAATTCAGTAGTCACTTTGGGGGCATGCCCCATGTTCAGACCCAGCATGGGGATATCCACACAGCCTTTTTGGGGCTGCGCAAAGAGCGACATGGGAGATCTGCTTATCGTGAAACTCTCTCAGGTCATATCGTCAACAACAACCATGTTGCTAACACGTGTATCTCTACATGGGTGTGAAAATGCGAATAATTACCAGCCAAATGGATCAAATGGCATCTTTTAAGGATAATAATTATCATAACCTATATAAATATATTGGAATTGAGGTACCCAATTTTCATGATTGTTTAGTGTAGTCGCAGAGTCCCAAACTATGATGTGACGACAGTGCTTGACAGTGCTTGTCTCTTCACTGTGCTGTGACACTGTGCCGTGAGAACCGACGCCCTGGGGCCCTGGGGCTCAACCGCTAGATGGTACCCTAAAAACACATGGGCAATAATCATTGTCCGATCAAATTGTATGTTTTATAAGTCCCTCCATATTTTCAGCCACCAAAGTAATTATATCATATATTATCATATCAGCTATTTTTTTCCCATGAAGTATCCCCATAACATATCCCCAGTATATCATCATATTTGATGATTAAATCCACATCTAGTCGCGGACTGCCGCGAAATGGCCCAGGGGTCATTGTATCGGGCTGGGCTGCATAGCCAAGAATGGAGCTGAGAGCCGAGAGCTGTCTGCTACCAACAGCCCTATTTCACACACGGGAAGGGCATCAAAACATATTATCACCATATTTGGAGGAATAAACATCCATTAACCAGCTAGTATAGGGTATAGGCTACCAGGCTTTTGAGTCACAGCCTTACCAGGCTGACCAAAATGTGTTCAGGGATTTGGTTCCAATACAAGCAGCATTTGACAAGATTGGGGTGGCAAATAATGACCTCCAAAAACTGATTGCAGTGAACCTGTGCCACCAACATCCACCAACAGCGCTGAAATGCGAAACCTCATAGACCATCCTTGAAGTGTAAGGCCCCACGAGTGTGGCCCCCCACTTCCCAAGCTATAGGAAAAGCATAGGAAAAAACCTGAAATCAACCTGATCAGGTTTTATGTGGCAGCATTTTCTCTTGTCTCTCAGCACTTTCTATAGAAATTGTGCTTTGGGGTTTCAACCTGTGAAGAACGCGTCATTGGACTGGAATCACTACCGTTCCTATCCGTTTCGAAAAATGTCTCCAGCAGCGGTTCGCACCGGTTCTTTGATGGGTGATATCAGGTTGTACCACCAAGCCACAGTTTTCGGCCCAAACTCCTTTGGAGTTGGTCGAATTCCGACTTCATCAGTTCGCAGCGGAGGGACCCTGTGTCCTAAAAATCCACGGCGCCGGTGACCGACGCTCTTGGATGGTCTGCATGGTGAGCCATGAAGTCAAAGGATGCTTTTCAGAATCATGTTCCCGTCATTTTCACTCCTGATACCTTTCAAAAAGTGGAGAGTATCCATCTCAGAGACAAGTCGTTTCCACTATTTTCCACTATACCATGAGCATGATGTGCCAGGCACTATCGCTTCAAGATGATATGTTCGCAATCCCTACGACTTAAGTCTTGGACTATGAAGCTGCCAGTCGAATCCAAACTCTGAAGCTTCCGAAGTTCAGTGGTCGAAACATCTCAAAACTCAGACAATAACCTTCAAACATGTCGAGATTTTATGGAATTTCCATGACATTTCCATGGATTTCATACAGGATTTGTTTTTTTTGACCCCCCAAAAAGGATCAAAAAGGAGCCCGGCGGAACCTGGAACCGTTCTTCGGATCCACCTTGACTGCTGAGCCAATAAGACCACAGCCTGGTCGGGAAATTTCCCACGCAAAAATCACAGATTTTCTGAGGATGTGGTTGGAATATGTTGGAATTAGTGGCATATCAGTGGGCGATTAGTGGGATCTAGATGGATATAGTGGGATTTAAGTGTTTTTGGACCTGAAACATGGAGATAAAACAGTCTATTTCATCAGGATATTTAATGGGACAATGGGATATCTTGCAGGATGTCATGGGAAAATAAACGACGTACCATGACGTACGAACTACTAGGATGTATGCTATTTACAAGTATGTATACTAGCTACTAACATGTAGTGGGATATTGTGGAATATAACCAACATTACTAGGATGCAGTGGGATATTATGGAATATAACCAACTGTACTAGGATGTAGCGGGATATATCATATTATCGAATATAGCCAACAATTATGGGTTAATTATACCCTGAAAGAAATATATCGGTATGGAAATACAAGCTTTAATGTTTGGACAAACCCATCTCGGGGCTTGCCGGGGCAACAATGAATTTGGGATGTCAAACGGGGTCTCAAAATTTCTGAGTACAGCTCGTTTGGAAGGAGAGTGATTCCAACTTAAAACCGTGAAACAATAGTCAATCAACGTCAATACTAACATAAGCTTCCATGTTATACTTGCGGATCAAATAACCCATCTTTTTTAATGTGGGATTCACCCAATGACAAACCATGCTATGTTTACCATCCCCAAATGATAGGTTTATTATTGGGTTTAATTACCACGGAGCCAGAAGTATAAGAGGCAAGCCGCTGATGGTCCTAATCAAGGAATTTCTCAGCGAGGATTTCAAAGACAACTTGCCTCCACTTTTACAATAGATTGATATACTGTACATATCTATTGAACATGTATATATATATATGTTGATATTGATTTTGATGTTGATATTGATATTGTTATAGTAAAAATAATATGTATATATATATATATCAAATTGATTATCACATATTATTTCTTAAAACAACTTGCCGTAATTCATATACCGCACCATTTTCAAATGATTCCGCAGAACTGCTTTGCATTACCAAGCCTTTGGTCACAAAAAAAAATCCCCAGGAAGACCTTCAAATGTTGACAAAGCCATGGCAAAAAAAACAGTCTTTGGTGGTTAGGTAGATCCCAATTGTCACTGATGAACACCTAAAAGTGCTCAACTCCCGATTTTGGTTTCTTAAATGGCTAAATCCTCATGCCTCATGTAAGCTGGCTGAATCCCGATTGTTTGTTGCATGGGTTTATATGAAAATAGGCTACATCCATATCATATATTGTATGGTTTATCATCATTTCCCCAATCAAAGGATCTTTATGCCATCTTATGGGTATAATATCTTGCCAAGTTTCAGACACATCCAAATAGTTAAGTGCTTGGTTACATATCCTTTTAGATCCCTAGTGTTCATGGTTCAACTCCATAAAATCTCCGTTAAATCATTCATTTCCCAGCCATTTTGATAGCTTCCCCATCCTTCCTGCCACTTACTTGGGCCATGGCCGAGGAGAGGCTCGTTGACCGCAGAGCTGCGGGTCACCTATGTTTACAGGAGGATAACCTTTGATCAATGGAGATTTCAACAGAGTTGGCCGTTGTTCATATTCCGTAGGATTTAAACAATGGGAATCATCCAGGATTTTCCATCAACTAAATCAACTGTTGAGGATTTTCAATCCCACCAGTCTTAGGATTTTTCATGTTATCCCATTACCTCCCATGAAAAATCCTCAGCTCGTTCAACCGTTTTTAACACCGTCAATTCAACCGTCTCAAGGATCGTTGAGGATTGGGATTGAATGGGATCATCTGAACCCAGCACCAACAAGACCAGTTCTTGAATAAATGGACATACAATGGGAGATAAAGAATTGGCTAGTAATGGGATACAATTGACATCCTATTATCAATGGACATTTTTATAAATGTATATCAATCAATTTTGAACAAAACATCAATGAATGATCATAAACTAACATCATGAAAACTCATCAGCTAATTTTTCTGGATCTGGAATGATGTGCACGAATAATACTACCATATATTACTACATTTTACTGACCTGACAAATTCGGATATTTGGAGATAGTTAGAGAAACCCTCTGAAAAACCATCTTTCCAATGACATTGTCTCCATATAAATCACACGTATTCGTACATGCATACATGTAAATGTATGTATATATATAATTATATAATATTATATACACAAATCTATATACACAAATGTTGTGCCTTTTGAAACGAAATGCCATTGTAATTTGCACATCTAAAAGATAATAATTCGGACAAGCATGGGCCATTTGAAATTATGAAGGCCAACAAGCAGGACTTAGTTTAAGCCAAAACACACCAAGATCATACAATTACATATATCATGTGGTAAACCCTTCAGAAACCTCAGCTACAATGGTATGGGGCTTTTTTGTTTATCGCCGCTCCACTCTGGGGATCCCCCACCTTTGGCACCACGATGGGCCGGGAGGAAATGAGCTGCTGAAGCTGTTGCTTCAGCCGGGCCTCAGCGATCTCGCCGAAGCTGCGGGATTCACTGGTTTTGATCATCTGGAGCTTTCCTGAAACAGGGGTATCCTGTTGAACCACCCATGTTATTTTCGGATGGTCCATGTTAAAACCATCCAGCTATGGGGGGGTATTCCCATTTTTGGAAAACCCGTTTCTTGGGTTTAGATTCTATTTGGATATTCCCAATGTAGATTATATTTGACATAGCTAGTCAAATCCAAGAATGTGATATTCCCACCAACGTTAGATGATCATTTGGGCTTAATCATCTGGTGGATTTAGCCCAAGACCTGGATTTAACATGATTTAACCAGCAAAAGTTGGTTGATTGGGGGCCATCGATTCCCATTTGCTGGAGGTATCTTGATGGGGCACAATTTAGCAACCATCTTTGGGGAGATTTGATGGGATGTCTAGCAATATACCCTCTGGTTATTTAACATAGCCATGGAACATGGCCCATTTGTAGATGGCTTACCTATTAAAAATGGTGATTTTCCATGGCCATGTTAAATAGCCAGAGGGTAATATGTCTTTGTCCAGACATCGGGGTACTAAACCCTGGATGGTGACAATGGAATGATGAATGTACGTTAGACGAATGAATGGAAACCAAAATGGGTGGAATGGAAAAAATGGGGCACCCCATTCCTTTTGAGACAAACACATCTTGAATCGCAATGAGCTGGTTTGAGTACCCTCTGGTAAACTAACATAACTATGGAACATCACCATTTTTAATGGATTTTTAGTGGGAAAACTCACTATAAATGGCCATTTTCAATAGCTATGTTAAATTGCCAGAGGGTAAACATTTACTCTTTGGGGATTCCCAGAATGATCCAGCCCAGAAACCTGTTGTTTGCTGCAGGATTCGTCCGACTTGGGGTTTCAGGGGGAATACTATCATGGGGTTTCGGATGGGAACGGGACAATATATGGTAATATGGTAATATGGTATAATATGGTACCCATTTCAGAAGCCAGCATCATTTTGAGAAGAACTTTTTCATCCAACTGAAACCTGCAGCATGGCCGACATAGGGTGATTGCAGCAACCATAGGGACATTAAAACAAACATGGTGATACAAAGCAATGACGCTGGGGATCAGTGATTTTTATAACTCGTTCCCGAGTACCAAAACCCATCTGGATAATTAGTGCATCACATAAAGCTCAAACACCTGCTTTCAACACAAGGCCTGACACTGATGGTTTTCCCAAGATCAGCAATCTGGGATTGGCTCAAAAGTCTCAAACTCTTGAACTTGGATGGTGAAAGCATGTTTACCACATTCAAATGTAGCAACCATGACCAAATTTATATCTTCATTTATACAATCTTCAACCCCCAAACCTAGGACGTTTACGACAAATTCTTGAGATTTCTCGGATTTTCCTGGTTCCAGGGGTCGCCCCAGCAACCAAAGTCCCTGAGTTCCGGACAGCAGGTGCCTTGGCAGCAGGAGTCACGCGCTGGCGGCCTGGAAGGCGGGATCAGCAGAAGATCATCTGAAGATATATTGGAATGTAATGGTAGGACTATGGCAATAATAGGAATATCATAGTAATAACGAATGATGATATCATAGGAATATAATTTGCATAGTAATGGTAGAACAATAGTAATATTAGGAATGCAATGATAATAGGAATATCATAATAATTATCTGCATATAATGATAATGATGATAGGAATATAATAGTAAACACAATGGCAATAACACTAATATTAGAAATAAAATGGCAATCCCACAATAATATGGTATATTCAGATATAACAATACAATCATAATCATGGGAAACATGATGGTAATATATGGATAATATAGCCATTATGATTCATATCCAGTGGTGATGGATAAGATATTACCCAACATGGGAATAGGAATTGGATACAAGGGATTCTCATGGGAAAATTATGTGTATATATAATATAACATAATAACTATCAAACATTGGATGATTATAATGAATAATGATCTGTACCCTGGGGTAAACATACAAAAAATGTGGACACACAATGGTTTCAGTGGGACAATGATCTACAAATAGTGGGATTTCCACATATATGTAAGTCTACAGGATGGTATATAATGAACTATAATGGATAATATAATATATATATATACATACTGGGAAAATGATAAGTATCAATCATGTATCAATCTTTGGAAACTAACGATCATTGATACTCACTATCATTATTTTGGGGTTGCAGTTGGGGTTGGTGGATGTGACCATGTTTTTTTTTCACAAAAACATGGCTTGGGACACCAAGGGAGTTCGATGATGTCCCCCATTTTGCCCACCTGGGGGTTTCCATAAATGGGGGTACCCCGAAATGGATGGTTTATAAGGGAAAATCCTATTAAAATGGATGATTTAAGGGTACCTAAGGCTACCGTTCTGAACGCCATTCCGAAAAATAAAAAGGTGATCAATTTTCCCCATTGAACGAGCCATGATTCATGGGATGATCAATCTCCACTTCCCAACATCAATACCTCTCGTTCCCGCTCACCGACGCCTGCTGATGCGGAAGTGGACGGAAGTCCAGTTTCTGAGCACGGCTAGGTCATGCCGTCATGCCAATTCCCTCTAGCCTGGTGAACATTAAATAAGTGCTACCCTCTGGTAATCAAAACTGGCAGCTGCAAAAATTCGATGATTTTCATGGGAAAATTATCGCACTAAATGGATCGATTTTCCAGCAAATCATAAAAGCTGTTAGATGCTCCTCCATCCAAGTCTGGTAGGATCGATATATGAAGCCAAAGGAAAGATGTTCGGAAATGACGAAGCCTAATCCTCAAAGAGGCAAACATCCCTTGTCCGGGATGATGGTGGATTGAAAAGGCTCTCATTCGCAGGAGGATTTGATGGATTTTAGCCATAATTCCACCAAGCTCCAAAATAATACCCTTGACATATACTCACGGAGCAAATGACATACCACATGGATCGGAATGGCGCATTCAAGCCGTTCAAGCCATTCAGAACTACCCGGTAAACCATTTGGTACAACTGTGTGACCCCCCATATCGACCCATCAACAGAGGTATTTTTAATGCATGGTACAAATGAGCTTCACCCAGAAAAGCGAGGCTGATGCTTAGAGGGATCCAATCTGGATTGATTTCTCCATAACCTCCATGAAGGATGGACGCCATACGGGCCATACAACCCAAGACTCTGTGGCCCAAGACATTACAAAGAAAAAAGATAACCTGCAAGGCAAGAAGACTCAGTTTTCAGCCCTTTAGCCACTTTAGCCGGGCATTAATTTCATACAATTTCTACATATGTGGCAAGAGACAAGCTATCAACCCACAGCAAGATTTACCACCATCAACTCCTCAGGTATAGCTTTCCAACAAAATCCCAAGACAGCAACATGGGACGAGAATTAAGTCACTGCAATAGATATGAAGATCCCCGATACCTTATAGAATCTTATAGACAATAAAGTTTAAGGCTGGCCCCGTGAAGCCACACAGATGAACTTGCGAAACATTTATTATCCCGTGTTTATCAAAAAACACTTCAAGCATGACAACTTTTTCCTCTGGGATTTCTCACAGATCTTAGGTACTTCGACCCTGCAAGTACTGCTGAACATGCGTAACCATGCCTCAAAAAAATGGCCGATTTAGCCCCATAAAAAATCCTCATTGATTGGTCAGGTACCCTCTGGTAAACTAACATAACTATGGAAAATCACTATTTTTTATAGGAAAATCCACTATAAATGGTCATTTTCAATAGCTATTTTGACATAACCAGAGGGTACCCCCTTACTTCCCATCCGTCAATCGACCAGCGCCAAGGCACGCGTTTCCCGCAGCTCCACACTGCAGCCTTCCATGATGGCACCAGCCAGCGCATCCTGCGGGCCGCATCCCATGGAGATGTCACCCGGTGTTTTTTCCGCCAAAAGGTCCATGGATTTTGGATGGTACCCGGCCTGGTAAACATACAAAAAAATATGGAAAGCTCCACCACGCTATTCATGGGACAACTCACTATAAATGGTGATTTTCCATAGTTTTTTGTATGTTTGCCAGAGGGAATTTTCATCTGCAACATGACCTGGACGTGTATTTTTAGTGTACATCATACTGCATGATTCATGTTGTTGTGATTGGAGAGGACTGACGACCTTACTGTAGATTCGAAGACAGGGAGGAACCAGCCCATTTTCTTCCCAAAGCTGTTTCATTCGGAGCCTTGGGTCATAAAATGTAATCAAGTTTATTCAGGACCCAACAACATTTCCATATTTCCCCATTCCAGAGAAACAAACCGTCCTCCATATTCATGGTTAATACCAAACATATCAAAGTCATGGAAATATATATCAAAGAATGGGACAAAAAATATCATTGTTTTCCATGACATATCGAACTAATATCAAACATATCGAAGTCTTGGAAAGTGGCGTCGCCTCGGCCCCTCGGCTCCCGTATCTCCCAACATCGGTCGAACCGGGGTCGAACCTGGGTCTCCCGTGGCGTCGCCTCATCTGCCTAAACCACCAGCTGAGTTGCCAAGGTCGGACCCACAACATCCCACAACATGTTCGGGAAAATCACCTAAAGATACCTAAAGTCAGCCAATTTACCATTTTATGTTTGGCATTGTTTGGCAAATCATTTGCAGCCATGCTTACCATTTTGTTAACTAAAAAGACGTGCCCAGATCAGTTGCGCCAGGTGCACATAGGATGTTTACTCATGAGTTAAGTGCCCCAACTAGAACTTGACTGGGCTATCAGCCACGCAAGCGTGCACTTGCAAAGTTATGGAACACGCATCAGTCACCCAGCCCGGTATTTTTTTGTTGAACATCCAATTACCCTCTGGTAATTTAACATAGCTATGGAAAATCACCATTTTTAATGGAAAAATCCACTATAAATGGCCATTTTCAATAGCTATGTTAGTTTACCAGAGGGTACAACATATTGCAACCCAATTTCACAGCACCAATCGGTTGGGCTTCAAGCCAAAGTCCCGGCTTCTGGGTAGTGATAATTGTGGACCACCCGTTTGGGATGAGAACAACAACGATACTAAAATTGGTAGTAATGACACATTTTGATCCATTTTGTGGGTCCGTTTATTACCCGATTTTCGAGCCATACCGTCACCTCGCTGGTTATTCATTGTCCACAAACCATGAAACGGTCAATCCACATTTTGCATCATTTTGCATCATTTTGTGCTGCTTTCCATGCCAATTGCATACGGAGTCACATTGAATAACCAAACATCATTCCATGGGTGCTGCAGGTTCCGAACATCTGCCGGAAATCTTCCTAAGTTGGTCAATTCACATCCCCCGGGGGTTGCTGAAATTATCTCCCCAAGTTTGGTGCAGGAAGTTCACCAGGTGACAATGCACTGGAGGCGAGTTTGCATGAACACAAGGGCCAAACAAAGTGACCATATTCATCCATATTCCATGACTTGTTATGGTAGAAACTATGGTAGAAACTACTGAAACTCTCTGAAACTGAGCGGGTAAACCTGGGTCTGTACCCTCTGGTAATTCAACATAACTATGGAAAATCACCATTGAAATCGTGAGTTTTCCCATGAAAAATGGTGGATCTTTCCATAGTTTTTTGTATGTTTACCAGGGGGTAAAACCACCATTTTCCTATGGTTTTCCTATGGTTTTCCTATGGTAACCATAGTTTTTTCTATGTTTACCAGGCCGGGTACCCCACATTTCAGGGTCATCCCCAATGAATTCACCAACCATCAGCCAAGCCACGGCGAGGGGGTGCCCACCTGCCCGAGCGGCTCCAGAGGGAAGGCCGCCTGTCGAAAGGCGCGAGATCACCATGCGATCGAACGAAGCGACTGATCTGTGGGATATCCTCAGTTATGAAAAATCGAGCATGTTTTATATCAACGTTTTTTTTTTATATTTTATGGATCATGATATAAATATCAACTTATATGAATGCATGATTCATCATTAGAGATATGAATATCAGATTATGTCATGAATATATGATTATTATGGCATGAATACGGTTTTCTAATCCAGCTGCATTCCATGACATACTGGGTCCGTATTACGGGTTGGGCGAACTACTGGTCAGCGGTGCCTGGGTGAAAATCATGGCTCCCGGCCCGCCCGAAAAAACACAACGAAGGCCCGGGGAGGTCCTGTACCTGGGATGATCTCTATTGATTTTTGTTGGTTGTTTTCAAGCCGTTCATCTTTGGGGGTTCTAGCCCCAGGGACGGACCTGGATGTCGATGGATGTCGATGGTAAACCAAACCCCTGTTGGTTCCTGATGTTTGTCGTTTTACTCTACCCTTTATAAATGGTCAATTAATCCATGAACTGGCAGTTCCGATCTTATTAACCAACCCTGAAGTTTGGCAAAGACACAAAAAATGCGGCTTAAAACACCTCAAACAGTATCAGGATAGCCTCTACAAGTAACCCCACCTTCCCTTTTCATTCTTGGTTTGGTCCCAATCCTTGTTGTACAAATCCGAATTTGCTGGTGGTGAACACCGATTTATCGCTGGTTTGAAGGTCAAACTACTACTCTTGGATACTCTTGGTATTTCTTGAAAAGAACCACCAATTCATCAGTTCTTTGGTGGTAAAAATCCATTGATTGGTTCAGAAACTTTATACCCATTTCACTGTTGGAACATCCGATTCTTCACCTGATGGACACGACACAGGTACTGCCTGTAGGTCTCCCACTCCTCTTTGGGCATGCTCCACATAGACTCGCAGTATCTCGTCAGCTGGCTCAAGTAGGTCTGCATTTCTATATCAGGAAAGAAGAAGTCCTTCAATCCTTTCAACAAATCGTCGGTGGCCATCTTGAAGATGGACAGTGGACTCGTCTTCGCCTCCCTTGCGGTCCTTGCACTTGCTACATTGCCGGAAGAATTCCTTGTCACGGAGGCAGCTAATTATCGAAGGATCGGGTCATCGTATCCCCGTTAGTTTGATAATAAATCATCATTTGACCAAATACACCACCAACTCCACAATTAGATAAATGTCCAATCTTGTTGCTTGGCAAACCAGTTGCACTCTTATTTCTGTATGTCATAGAAGCTGAATGGTACCACCCAGAGGTGTATAACCCTCCGAACAACACTATGACCTGGGATTCCATGATAGATGCAAGAGATCATGGAGAACATGTTCAAAAAACAGCAGAAAACACTGTAAACATGGGACCCTCGCAGCGAGACGCTCTCGAAGAACAGATGACCCGCAAACGTCGGGGTTGATGGTGATTTATTCATAATCCCAAAACTAAAGGCTTTAATTGGTTGGGGGAGACCTTCTGGTGGCGTCAGCCCCGGAACCTCAAACTTCCATGCTATCCCCATGATATACCCGTTGTATCTGCACTATATCCCGATAATATCCGATAATTATATATAACAATATATTTGATGGCCAATGACCCACACCCCGGCTTCGGCCTCCTTTATAGCCTGCCAGCTTCTGCGGCACCGCCCCTGTCGTGGAGGTAGGTACTGGTGCCATTTGCGGCGCTGCCAGGGGCGCGCCGCCGTGCGACTGACCTCGGGTTTTTACACCTTTTCTTTTGTTTAATGAGGTTTTCTATCATGGCTCATCATCTTTATCATCTCTGGCATCTTTATGTATATCTATACATATAATATATATATATACTGTATATATATATATTGTATGTATATATATATATATATATATATTGTATGTATATATATATATATTGTATATATATATATATAAATATATTGTATATATATATATGATCGAGAGACCTTTAGGTACCATTTTGTTCCGGTTAATTATGATAAATTTTAAAGCTTTTTGGAAAATTGAGAGGATTTAAAGAATTAAATGATTTAATCCTTTTAATCCTTATAATCCTCCAGAGCCTTTGGGGGATTAAACGGATTAAAAGGATTAAATCATTTAATCCTTTTAATCCTTTTAATCCTCCAAAGCCTCTGGAGGATTAAAAGGATTAAATGCTTGGTCCTCACATTGGGGTTCTGGGGGCTCTGGAGGATTAAAAGGATTAAAGGGATTAAAAGGATTAAATGATTTAATCCTTTGAATCCTTTTAATCCTCCAGAGCCTTTGGGGGATTAAATGGATTAAAAGGATTAAATGATTTAATCCTTTTAATCCTTTTAATCCTCCAGAGCCTTTGGGGGATTAAAAGGATTAAAAGGATCAAATCATTTAATCCTTTTAATCCTTTTAATCCTCCAGAGCCCCCAGAACCCCAATGTGAGGACCACGCATTTAATCCTTTTAATCCTTGTAATCCTCCAGAGGCTTTGGAGGATTAAAAGGATTAAACGGATTAAATCATTTAATCCAATGCTTGGGCCTTAGACTCCAGATCTCTGGGGGATTAAAAGGATTAAAAGGATTAAATGATTTAATCCTTTTAATCCTCCAGAGCCTTTGGGGGATTAAAAGGATTAAAAGGATCAAATCATTTAATCCTTTTAATCCTTTTAATCCTTTTAATCCTCCAGAGCCCCCAGAACCCCAATGTGAGGACCACGCATTTAATCCTTTTAATCCTTTTAATCCTCCAGAGGCTTTGGAGGAGTAAAAGGATTAAACGGATTAAATGATTTAATCCCTTTAATCCTTTTAATCCTTTTAATCCTCCAGAGCCCCCAGAACCCCAATGTGAGGACCACGCATTTAATCCTTTTAATCCTTTTAAACCTCCAGAGGCTTTGGAGGATTAAAAGGATTAAATGATTTAATCCTTTTAATCCTTTTAATCCTCCAGAGCTTTGGGGGGAATAAAAGGATTAAAAGGATTAAATCATTTAATCCTTTTAATCCCTTTAATCCTTTTAATCCTCCAAAGCCTCTGGGGGATTAAAAGGATTAAACGGATTAAATGCTTGGTCCTCACATTGGGGTTCTGGGGGCTCTGGAGGATTAAAAGGATTAAAAGGATTAAAGGGATTAAACGGATTTAAGGATTTAATCCTTTTAATCCTCCAGAGCCTTTGGGGGATTAAATGGATTAAAAGGATTAAATGATTTAATCCTTTTAATCCTCCAGAGCCTTTGGGGGATTAAAAGGATTAAATCATTTAATCCTTTTAATCCTTTTAATCCTCCAGAGCCCCCAGAACCCCAATGTGAGGACCACGCATTTAATCCTTTTAATCCTCCAGAGGCTTTGGAGGATTAAAAGGATTAAAAGGATTAAATCATTTAATCCAATGCTTGGGCCTTAGACTCCAGATCTCTGGGGGATTAAAAGGATTAAAAGGATTAAAAGGATTAAATGATTTAATCCTTTTAATCCTCCAGAGCCTTTGGGGGATTAAATGGATTAAAAGGATTAAATGATTTAATCCTTTTAATCCTTTTAATCCTCCAGAGCCCCCAGAACCCCAATGTGAGGACCACGCATTTAATCCTTTTAATCCTTTTAATCCTTTGGAGGATTAAAAGGATTAAAAGGATTAAATGATTTAATCCTTTTAATCCTCCAGAGCTTTTGGGGGATTAAAAGGATTAAAAGGATTAAATCATTTAATCCTTTTAATCCCTTTAATCCTTTTAATCCTTTTAATCCTCCAGAGCCCCCAGAACCCCAATGTGAGGACCAAGCATTTAATCCTTTTAATCCTTTTAGTCCTCCAGAGGCTTTGGAGGATTAAAAGGATTAAATGATTTAATCCGTTTAATCCTTTTAATCCCCCCGTGCCTTTTGGAGGATTAAAAGGATTAAATGATTTAATCCTTTTAATCCTTTTAATCCTCCAGGGGGTCCGGAATTCCCGGTCCAAGCCCTTGAGAAATATATTTAAATCCATTTAATCCTTTTAATCCTCCAGAGCCTTTTGGGGGATTAAAAGGATTAAACGGATTAAATGATTTAATCCTTTTAATCCTTTTAATCCCCCCGTGCCTTTTGGAGGATTAAAGGGATTAAACGGATTTAATGATTTAATCCTTTTAATCCTCCAGAGCCTTTTGGGGGATTAAATGGATTAAAAGGATTAAATGATTTAATCCTTTTAATCCTTTTAATCCTCCAGAGCTTTTGGGGGATTAAAAGGATTAAAAGGATTAAATTATTTAATCCTTTTAATCCCTTTAATCCTTTTAATCCTTTTAATCCTGCAGGGGGTCCGGAATTCCCGGTCCAAGCCCTTGAGAAATATATTTAAATCCATTTAATCCTTTTAATCCTCCAGAGCCCTTTGGGGATTAAAAGGATTAAACGGATTAAATGATTTAATCCTTTTAATCCTTTTAATCCTCTTAATCCTTTTAATCCTTTTAATCCTTTTAATCCTTTTAATCCTTTTAATCCTCCAGAGCCTTTTGGAGGATTAAAAGGATTTAAAGAATTAAAGTGCGGGGCTTTTCTCGGGATTCGGGGAGGTTTGGAGGATTAAAAGGATTACACGGATTAAAAGGATTAAAAGGATTTAAAGAATTAAAGTGCGGGGCTTTTCTCGGGATTCGGGGAGGTTTGGAGGATTAAAAGGATTAAAATGATTAAAAGGATTAAATGATTTAATCCTTTTAATCCTTTTAATCCTCCAGAGCCTTTTGGTAGGTTCAACAGGGTTCCGGATAAAGTTCCGGGAGGCTTTGGTGCAGAGCCAGGGCAGGCTCAACAGGGCTCCGGGTTTCCGGAGAAGGTTCCGGGAGGCTTTGGTGCAGAGCCAGGTTAGGTTCAACAGGGTTCTGGTGAAGGTTCCGGAGAAGGTTCCGGGAGGCTTTGGTGCAGAGTGAGGTGAAGTTCAACAGGATTTGTGGCCATTTAACTCACGGAAACCCAGCTGAAGTGTTTCCAGCGTTGGCTTTGCAGCAGGCTTCAGAAAGATTAGTAAAAATAAAACGTTGCGGCTGTTGTGCATACCACCGAAGCTTGTTTTCCAAAGACATTTGCTGTGGATGGAAATTGCATGTCCCTTCAAAGTTGCAAGAATGCAGGGGTGAGGCATGTCACCCTGCCTTTGGCAGCATTGTAAGTGACAGCACACGAGATTTCTTGTAAAGAAGCAAGACCCGGATTTCTGGGCACCGCCACTGTCCATTTGGAAACATTTTGTTTGTTTGAAATTTCCTGGAACAAATATTTTTCGACAAGGGCCACATCACCACATGGGACTTTCAAAAAGCAATGCTCTTGAGCTGCATTGAAAGCTGGTGAGCCTCCATCCACATTGTGCAAACAGACAACATCACCAGAAGTAATTGTTGCCCCAGAAAAAAGTTTACAACAAGAGCTCTGCATGCAAGGCATTCCCACAGGAACCACGCCAGCATTGCATAGGAATGCCGTCATCTTCTTTGTGGGGCCCCCTTTGCATTTTGTAGGCAGGTGCCTTCTCTAACAATCTTGACTCTTCACCCAATGTACAGATGTGCTCTGCAATGACAGACTTCATCAAAGAAGTTTCCCAATGGGTAGTGTTGCACAAGACATTCCCATGTTTTCTAATGCCTTTGTGCTTCCTTTCCATGGTCCAGCATGCAGGTAATTGGCCATGCCTCTGGAGACTTTGACTATAATATGAAGTGACCAGTGCATCTTTGGCTCGAATTCTTCAGACCAGTCAGCTGCAACAGTTGCCTCCAATGCTGCTTCAACAAATGAAAGCAATTGCTTGTGGTCAGGCTTTTCCAAAGCAGGGATGGATAGGCAATAATCCAAAACTTTGCACCAAGCCAAAGAGCAAGTTGGCCCCAGAAGACAAATGCCATTAGGCAAGCAGCAAATTTGGACATAGTGTGCCAGCACCTGGTACAGACTCAGAATCTCTGAGGATGAGCATTTGAATTTCCCAGCTTTTTTGTGGCCTTTGGGCAGAAATAACCTTTGCAAATTGCATTTGTGAATGGCAGGCTGGGCCCAAAGTTGCACAAAGCCATGTGCCTTCCAAATCTCAGCCACACCACTGGAAGCAAGCGGTTGGATCCACAAAAAAAAATACCCAGTTCAGCACACCATTTGGGCAGAGCCCATGCATATAATCATGCATGTATTGGGTGATTGGTCTCAGAAGGTTCTGGGACTTCAGCTTGTCACTCAGCAAGAGTGAATGCTGGGAATAATCAACCCCAGAAGCCTGGCTCCACCTTCTGAACTCGGTTTTGTTGCAAGCTGTGCTCCTCTCTTGCATCCTTGCCCACGAGGACAGGATTTCTTGGTCTGTTGCAATATCCAACAGAGAGTTTCAGTCTTTTAGGACCTCCCTGTAAAAGTACCCCGGAATGAGGATGAGCATATTTGTTGTCAAACGTGTGCTCCAGGATCAACCTGAAACATTGGCCAATGCTGGCTGCCAGCTGTGAGACTTGCTTACTCCTCTCCCCAAGCAATGTCAACCAACTTTCAGAATTTGACAGCGTGGCCCCAAACTGGGCAGATGAACAGTAAATTGCCCATGTATTCCTAGAATTCCCTGCCAATTGGTTTCCAGGGTGCAGTTCATCTACATAAAGAATGCAAGACCAAGGGTTGTTGAAGGAACTAGGGTTGTTGTCATGTACCTTGTCCAAATAATCCGCAAAGCAGCCACCAGCTGCA